CCAGTTGTGCACCTCGGCGCGCTGCTGCTCGAGCTGGTCGACCCAGTTCTGCATGTCGGCGAGCTGGCTCTCGAGCTGCTCAATCTTCTCCGTGTAGGGCTGGACGGCCTGGTTGAAGGCAGCGGTAATGAGGTCGGGCATGCCGAGCCCCATGGGGGCGCTGCTGCCGGTCGGGGGCACCTGCTGGGAGCGGATGGGCATGTTGTTGTGGGTTGGGGGAGCACTCTGCGCGTACGTCGGCTCTTGGGGTTGCTGCTGGCGGGGATACATGTCCGGCTCCTCGGTAGGGGAAAAGGGCTGGCTGTGGTGGGACTCCTTACGGCTCGACTCGGGGCGCTTATCTGTGTAATCGTCGAATGACTGCGAGCGCGGGTTCTCACTGTTGTCGACGTAAGAATTGGCTCGGGACCGACTATGCAAAGTTAGTGCGCGTCACCAGATGCAGCGCGTAGCAGGTCCGACTTACCGTTTGAAGAACATTATGCGAAAAGAAGAGTCTGCAGCGAAGGGTGAAGGCCGGCGGTGTTATAAGCTGGCAGTTTAGAGGAAGCGAGATTGCGCCTGAAGATACGAATAAAGAATGGTTGGGCGTGTGGGAATTAGGCTTTCGATTCGCAGGAAAAGTGCGAGGTTGAACGACGGGCTGCTGTTGGCGGCGGTGGTTGGGGCGGGCCCCTGGTTCCAAGACACGATAACACGACTATCGATGATGCGCTGCGTTGCACACACACACACACGGCGCGTTGCACAAGACAGACTATATGTCTTTTGCGGAGCGATGGAGGTAAACAATGCGCCGCAGACGGTAGCGGAGGTAATAATGCGCCGAACGGATGTTGTTGACGAGCGTAGGCTTTGTATAGTCGTGCGTTGGGTAGGACCATTCTCGCATGCCGCCCAGCGCAGCATCCGCAGGCCCCGCTAGTTTGTGGAGCCGAGCCTTCCCAGCCGCCCGTCCCCAGCCACATCACTCCTCTCGAGACCGCTTCGAGCCTGCCGTCCGCCCATCTCGCCTGATAACGAGACAGCACGGTGATGCTCCTTCAAGCGACCTCGCTTTCCCCACGCGGCTGCCGTCGCTTCCAGAGCATCACGACCGCTTCAGGCACTTGCACAGCGCATTGTTGCCCAGCAACCCCAGCTCATCTCGGAAGCATGCATCTTCCTAGCTCTAGTCAACGTGCTTTCCTGCGTGTTTGGTACGGCGCCTCTAGCAATCCTACCGTTGCCGTAGTGAACCATACTTTTCGACCATTGCTTCCCCTATCCCAACGACCCCATCCAAAGGAAAACTGGACAGCCAGCTCTGCAGAACTGACAAGAGTACATTGCCTTAACAATTCTCAGACTGATGTTTGTATAGTAATGTCGACTTCAGCGCACTTGTTCAGCTTTGCCCTTGTATGAGGTGAACATACGCTCGCATACAAAACTAATTTTAAACGCACTACAAACTACTCCATACACCAACTACTCTACCTTCTCGCTAGCCTTTCCGTTGACGGTCCCATTCCCCTGCGTTTTCTTGCTACCGTCAAACTCTACTCCACGAATAGTCCACTCGCTGTAAATCTCGAGTCCGCTAACAAACACACCCAACAAGCTCGCAATAACAAAGTGACTGATCGTCGTTCCAATCTCCAGCCAGCTCCCCTCGTCCTTGACCATGTAGAAGAAGCTCAGTGTCATAACATCACTGACCGCCATCACCACCATGAACAATGCTGACGGCGCAACACCTAGACGGCGGTTGAGCAGACCGAAATTGGCCGAGAGAGCCGCAAATGGCACCATGAGCTTGAGCATGAGAAGTGCGCCTTGAGAGAAGGGATCGAAAATGGGGACCAGGCGGTAGACGGCATCGAGCGAGAAGGACGACACCGAAGCGATGTTTGATGCGCTGAAAAAGGCCGACTGGATGAAGAAGATAAAGAAGAGGGCTATGCGGGCGTCGGCTAGGGTCAATGTTCTGTACTCCCCCTTTTGGAGCGAGTCGAAGCGATCGGATGCAGCGTTCATGGTAGGCTTGGCCGGATCCGATGTAATGGCTGCAGTCGATGGGTTGGTCGTGTTATGCAGGTACACCTGGTGCTCGAGGCGCATCCAGCTGAACAGACACATGCAGAAGGCGAAGTAGAATAGCCCTTCGTACGAGATCGAGAGGATGATGAATGTCGGTGCGAACTGCAGGAAGATGACTACGAGACGGTGGACGTAGTGTGTGTTCGGGTAGAGACCATGCAGTTGAGGGACGACGAGTGAGGCCAACAGCGTTGCTCGTGTCACTGTCAAAACGCCGAATGGTATGCCTACGCGCGCTTGGAGGTATCCGCTGCTGCTTTTCGTGACAATCATGGACAGCACTACGAGACCGAGCTGGACGCCCAGTATAATACGAGAGTTGTTGTTGAGTTCATGCTTGGCGAGTTCGGCTTCGGATTTGCCGTCTTCGAGAATGCTCTTCTCAAAGAGCAGGTAAAGCGCGCCGATGACAAACATTAATGCGCCTCCAAGAAGACTGCATGTCGTTAGTTTCAGGTCGATACTGTCAAGCGGCGCACTTACATCAGGCGAGTGTCCTCTGCCTTGTTGGCTGGTAGTAATGTGAAAGCACTCATGCCTACGCAAGACAGAACCCAAGTGGCGACTGTTGCCATGTTCTTCTTCACAAACTCCTGTCCATAGACTGCTGGCCACAATGTTGCAACCAGGTAGCATACGGTGTAGATTTCCCTGACGAAGTAGCTTTGGACCTATCTCTGAGTTAGTACCATCGTGTCTTTCTGTGCATGGCCTACGTACCAAAGCCTCAAGGAGACCGAAAAAGCCCAAAGTCGCAAAGACAAGCTTTGCAACATCGGCGCCTGAGTTCAAATGACCAAACAGAACCTTGCTGCCCTTGACAAGCGACAGCCTCTGCGCAAAGACTTCCTCCCAAAACAAGACAGGGAAAACGGCGTATGCGTAGTAGACGATCGGTGATTCCTGTTTGAAGAATACTCCACAGAGCGCAACAAACACAGAAGAGAACACCACCATACTGGCCGCTGTTCTTTGTGCTGGCACATGTTCGGTGAGCACATGCAAGTCAATGACGGTCGTAATAGCGAACACGATCCATCCGACATAGCCAGCAGTCACCAGCGTCCGGAGGAAGAGCCAATCGTACGTCTGCAAGTACCGCAATCCTTCGAGACCAAGGTCGATGAGCTCGTAAGTCTCACGGATAGCTTCTCCATCGTTGCCCTTGTCGATGAAGGCTTGTATTTCCGCAATGCGATGTTCGACAGAATGTGCCTCGTCACCAAGGCCAGAAAACGGCTTGTAGTGGAGTTGTGTCGACTTCTTGATATCCTCTTTGACGTGATACATTTCCAGTATTTCCTTAGCGTTGGCAAGAAGAGCCTCAGCCTTGGCTTTAGGGTCTTTGTCAAGATAAGAGAGCGGCAAGACTCCGACAGAGTTGGTGGGGAAGTCCAGACCGACCAGGTACGCCATCAATGCCGCGACGTCGGCTTGGTCAACGTCGTGTCGTTCGACCTCGTCCAAGTTCCAGTCAGAAGAAAACTCGGTGTGGCCTTTAGCAAGGCCTGATACGTTCTTCAATGGGGCTGCAACACCAGCACCCCATGCAATCAAAGGTGTGCGCGTATTGTCTGGATGTCCGTCTCCATGGCTTCCCCAGTCGCTCATTCCGTGGTCCGCTGTGAATACAAAGGACGTCTTGTCATCGTTGTAGAACTCTTCAATCAGCTCCGTGATCTCCTGAACTCCACGGTCCACGATCTGAATGTTGTGCAAGTATTGCCACGAGTATGGTCGGTGCGCATGGCCTGTAGTGTCGATTCCAAGCAAGTGGAGGAAGAAGACGTTCTTCTCCTGCCTCAATTCTGCGTCCAGTGTCGCGTTCGTTTTGGCGTCCGCAAAGAGCTTCTTGACGCGCTCGAATACCCATTCGTCCAACACCCAGGCGTCTTTGGAGGAATCCTCTTCTTCAGCACCATAGCAGTATGCGTCGACTCTCCCAGGTACAGCGCCCGCCTCAAACATGGGAAGAATGTCGGGACTGCCCCAGCTCCATGTATGCCGGCTTCGATTGAAGACGCTGTCAAAGTTGACTGGGTTCAGCTTCCACCCGGTCGTGACCGCGGAGACATCCTCGTATAAACCTGCGATGAGCGCAACATGTCCGGGGCGCGATTCGGTGGGGACGCGTGTATGGGAGACGCCAAAGGTGCCATGTTCTAGGACGCGAGAGCGAAGGTACGGGGCGAGAGGTCGCGGGTCGCTGGTGTTGTCTGCGAGAGGGGTCGGAGGATTGGGGTCAGGGTTAGGAAACGATTGGAATGCCTTGTCTGCGCGGAGTCCGTCGCCTGTAATACTGTCAGTGTTGAATGGAGGCCCATTTGACGCGACTCACCAACAAAAAGCACTAAACGTTTTGCGGGAGCTTCCTGTGTCTCCACGCGGTGCTCGCGCATGCCATGGACAATCGGACTTGTGAAATGTATGCTGAATATTGTATAGATGTACACCAGATGGAACACTACTGCTACCAGCAGGAACCTATAGCGACCGAATTGCGCCATGGTAAAGGAGTGTGGGAACAGCAATGCGCTTCGAGGACACGTTTTGTGGACGCGTTGCAGTACTCAGATGGTTGCGGAGCCATGGAGGTATCCCTGCCAAGATCTACCATCGGCATAGGCACAGGCACAACATCACGACTCAATACGCTACAAATGGATGCAGCTTTGACTTGTTATCCACCTTGATCTGGGCTGGACTGACGCGTTCGTTGAGACGCGCGTGGTGGTCGAATTAGAAGGGACCAATCTCGGCGCCCAAATAGGAAATACCGAGCTCGAGCTCCGCAGCATCACGCATTCACACATGTTGAGAATGAAAGTCATTGTAGAAGCCAAGTCTTTACCGATTACCAAACGATATACCTAAAAGACCGTTGATGCTTGTATCATCCGTCCCCTCGTGGAGCCCGTCTATTCCTCAACATTGAAGTTCGCGCCCTCTCTCAGACCCTCGACAACCAGCTCGTGGCCCTCGGCCCGCTGGTAAATGTCCTTGATGTCATCTGCCATATGTCAGTATTTCGTGCACCATTTCAGACATCGGGAACATACCAGTCGTTGTCTCAAAGTGGCTGGTGGCGTCGTAGCTCTTCGACATGAAGATGTTGTCCTTGGCACCGCTCTCAATTGGCTCGTAGAGTGGGATAGCTGGGCCCATGAACTTCTCCTCGATCTTTCCGAGACGGTCAAGACCGGGCTGGAGCTCAAGGTGGTGGTTGCTGTCGCCCTCAGCGATGGTGGAGACAATGGCGATGTAGTAGCCCTTGGGGCAGACGTTGTGTGCAGACGAGACGACAGCGATGTAGATGTCTAGTGGAAATTGTCAGCAAGGGTTCTGTGGGCACACGGGTGTATACGTACCGTGCTTGCGTCCGACCTGAGACTGAGGAATGATCAGTTGCAGTGAGTCGGCATCGGCTGTGTTGGGGATGGGGTGGTTCAGAATGCAAATGGCCTTGAGCAAATGTCCAGTAACACGCGCCTTGCCGGGGAAGTATGAGGGGTCGGCGAGGATCTTTCCTGCCTTGGTCTCAAACTTCATGCCCTCGCCAGCGTCGTCCTTCTCCTTCATGGTGGCCTTGATACCCACAACCTTGTCGCCTTCGTAGAGGAACTCGTCGACGTCGGTGTTCAGCATGTAGGTACCACCGTAGATAGCGGAGAGACGAGCGAAACCCTGAGGAAGCTCTCCCAAACCGTAGAGCGGGTAGATGTAAGGCGATTTTCCGTAGCGTGCCATGGAGTTGACGTAGAGCCTGATGCGCTGGACGGCTTCATTTGCTTGCCCCTTCTGTGTGATGTAGTCGTCGGTGGGGTACAAGGCCATGGAGTGACCGATGAAATCGCGAGTGGTAGCCTCAAGGCCGAACTTGTCGTATACGTCCTTCATGGTGCAGTTCTGGATATCGATGCCTGCGTCAGATGTCAGTCACCATTTTCTATTCCTTCTCACTTGAGCATCCGTACCCTTGTGTGACGCTGGGTCATCCGCGTTGTAAGCGCCAACCCACTCGAGGAAGTTCCTCGCGCGACGCTTCTCGAAGAGACCCATGAGAGGTGATCGCAGCGCCTCGCCGGCATCTGAGGGGACCTTTGCGACGGTTGCCTTGGCGCCGTTGCCCTGTTGTACGTAGCTGCCGGCGATCTGCTTGAACTCGAGGTATTTGGTGACGTCGGTGGAAACGAGAATGTTGGTGAGTTCACCGTTGGACATGAGCAGCTTGGGGACGAGGTCGATGTTCCAGTCGTTGACGCGGCCGTACTTCTTCCATGGCTCGCCCTCGGTCTGGCCGTATCGCTTGAAGAGCTGGACATCGGGTTAGCATGTGTTGAACTGTCAGGCATGGTGTAGACTTACTGCTTCGATGTTCAGCGATGCTGCCTCACTGCTTCCTGTTAGCTCTCGCCCCTCAGAGTACCTGTTCAGATAACATACCCGCCGTAGTGGTCGTTGCGGTCGATGTGGAGCACCTTCTTGCCCTTGACACTAAGGACTCTGCAAGCATGTCAGTATGGACTCGGAAGCTGGCACGCGTCCGTGTGTTACCCTGAAAGTACACATTCCGTGAGACCTGGAGATAGTTAGCTTCCGCGACGGCAGCGTTACGTAGGTGGGGTAAGGGCAACCCACCTGTTCCCAGGACCACTACGTCGTATTCGGGGGCAATCTCGTCCATGGCTGTCAGATGTCGGGTGCAGAATAAGAAAGTTGAGGATTGCGGTAGAGGGTGTCCGCTAAGAAGGCGCGTGGACAGGCGGTGTTAGCCCTAGGCGGTGTGATGGATGTGGGGTTGTAGCTCTCTCTGGGAAGCGCCTCGCCAATCTGGTCGACCTCCAGGGCTGTTTATGCTCGCATTACTTTCATAACTCGTCGCGGTTAGCATACGCTTGACTAGTGCACTTCATTGATTTCATGACTGATTGTGATACACGCGATATGCTACAGAGGCCGCCCTGGCCACCCTAATCTATACGGCATCCTCACTGCACTAGCAGTGCTCCCCGTTCGCCATCCCATATGCGATGCGTTTATGATCGTAGTCACATTTATACGATGTCCGTACCGTTGCAAAAGTTTCAACAGGTACATTCCTCGCCGGGTAACTACCCAGGCGCATATGCCACCTGCGCCCATGATTCTCATTATGCGTGATTCACCTTCTCCTTCGGTTGCACTTCGGGTTCTGGAAGTACTTTGTCTTTCGAGGGCTCTTCGATGGTTTGCTCGGCCGGAGTCTCGTACGGCGTCTCGTCTGCTTCTACGGGTTCCTACAAATTGGTCAGCATGTGGATAGCCATCCTGAGAAGTTGTACGTACATATGGTGTTTGAGTGTACTGTGGACCGTCTGTCCTCGACAAGTCGATATCTGGATCGCTCTGCGCTAGCACGTAGGCTTCCTGGTATGCCTGGTGTCGCTCGGCCAATGTGTCGAGAATCGCCTTCATCGTCTCCTGCACCGTTTTGTCTCGCTCCTCATTTTCGAAGTCGCCGTAGCCCGCGTCCAGACGCTTTCGCTCAAGCTTTTCGGTCGCAAGACGATTCCGCTCCTTCACGCATACCCACCACAGCTGGTGCAGGGTGTCCCAGTCTCGACTGCGCAGCTCGCCAACAGTCCACGACCTTCCTGTTCCTCTGTCAGTTACCCGCTTCCCGTCACGGAACCAATGGCAGCCTACCATGTTTCTGCTCTTCTACTGGTGTCTGCAGGAGCTGCTGGTCCTTGAAGAAATCCCACAGGCCGTGGTCGGGTGTGCCAGTCACTTCCTGCTCGATCTTGACGGGCTTGGGCAACCGCTGCTTTGCGAAATCTTTCTCCTTGACCGACAATGTTTGTCTAGGACGCAGACCGGTAGCTCTGACAGCGGAATTGCCTCTGTCCCTGTTGTTGTCTCTTTTCCATCGGGCGGGTGATGTGGAGAAGCGCGCGCATTGGACCGACGGCACCAGGAAAGACAGCACCGTGTCCTGCTGCACGAGTGCGAGATTGGGCCGTAGTAATCGTGAGGAGTGTATCGTAGCCATGTCGTCGGTGTGGGCTGTGCTTGCCGATGCTGGTGGGCGCAGCCGGGTTACATTCAAAGTTGCAGGAAACTGCGACCGGGGTAGGCCGCTAGCGCATGCCATCAGCCATCAGCCCTAATCAAACCCACCTAGGCACCGTCCTCCCGTATAAAGAGAAGCCACCCCGCGCTCCTCTTCCTCTCGTCACCAAACTTCGCGCTCATCACCCAGTGCTGGGCGCCTTCAGATAGTTTCCAATTTCACTTGACGATTTCTTCGATTTCACCAGCGGGTACCAGGACCCGCCCTTTAACATCCCGAAATGCAGTATTCAATCTTCTCCATGCGATTCGTTCCAAGCGAACTCGCCCGCCTGTACTGGCAGCCACAGCAACTCCGTCTCGTCGCCAAACCACCCTGGAAGTCAGTCAATTAATTGGGAGTTTGCACTCTCCTACTCGACCGCCGATAATAACAGTGCTCTGTTCGATACCCCTTCACTTCTATCTTCCACTTCCTCGTCCGCCGCCTTGACAGGTGGCCTACTTGCACCGGACCCTTCTTTCCATACCACTCCGGACTGGGACCTCTTCCCCCATTCTGACTCACAATATCTTGGCGATGGCACGCAACTGCTTCCTGGCGGGCCTACTTCACTTTCGATCGCGGAAGACAACATGAACATGCTTACCATGCCGCCTGGCATGGGCAATATCAACACTATGAACACATCTGCGCTGATGGCCAGAGGTAAAGACCACGCCACGCTTCTCAATTCTCCAGTAACTAATCTACGTAGATTACTCTCAGTCTGGTTCTTCCTCGACAAGTCACAAGGATCAGAGCTCATCACCTCCTGAGCAAATCTCGTCGTCCAAACTGTCATCTACAAAGAACAGCCCCAAGGACTCAGAACCCTCCTGCCGAGTTGAGAAGCGAAAGGCAAACACCCTTGCTGCTCGTCGCTACCGCCAAAAGCGCGTCGATCAAATGAGTACCCTCGAGACCGAACTTAAGGAAGTCAAAGCCGAGAGAGACGACCTTAAAGTCCGCAACGCCAGGTTGGAGGGAGAAGTCGAGACGCTTCGTGCCCTGATCCGTTCTCAGAAGTAACCCTGCATCGGTCTGTCAGCATGTGGTGGCCTAATCTTTCCTGTTTCATCATCTAGAGAGGCCTCCTTTCAGACGATGTCGGACAATGGGTCGGATCATGGTACGCCTGTTCAGAGCGATATTCAGATCGGCAAAATAGGGTTTAATCTCAGAGGTTGTAGGGTTCTGGTGGTGTACACTCACTGTCAATCTCGTCAAATGATGATTTCAATATCTGTTCTACATATGACTCTATGTTGCACTGTCCTCAGTTTATACTAATGTTTGCATTCATCTTCCGCGACAATCACTTTGGCTCATAATGAGCAAGAGCCTATATCTACACCAATTGAGCCCTTGAAGACGTCCATCAACCTCACAATGAGTCGAAGTGAGCAACACCCTCGACGATGTCCTACATCAACAACACCATCATCTGCCCTATCGTACTCGCTTTGGAGACCTAACCGGACGTTCCGTCGCCAAAACCCCGTACGCCCTTTCCGCTGAACGCAAGCCTGAGGCTTGCAGCTGCGGTGCCTTAGTCCAAAGTGTGGTCCCCGGATGATGTTCACAGCCCCACTTAGAGCCACCCGATGGTCCAATCATAGCGCGTAGCGGTGAGTCATTCTCACTCAGGATGTGTCCGAATCCTTGGCTTGTCTTACGGCTGCTTTCTCCCTCAACAACGACTCATTGGCGCCGCCAGCCACCTCCAAACTCAACTTGCGCATCGGTGTAAGCGGCCTTCAGATGCCGACCTTCGTGTAGCGCTCGGCAGTCGTCACCCCGCAGATGTTTGAGAGCACCCCCCGCTGCAACTCCAACGAACATCAGACTGTGATCACAGGAAAGTGCTACTGACTGTGTTGCAGCGGTGGGCTCTACACCTCTTCTACCGGGGTTTGACGTTTCCTACGATCCCTTGTTTCGAGGCCGGCCTTCTGTACCGCCTCAATCAGGTACACCATTCTATCTTGCCTTGCGACGTCGTTTTCCATCCTCATCCCGGCTTACCGGGAGACTGCCGACTTCATTGCAACTTCATGTTTCCTATCTTCCCTTCAAGTACCCACAATCCAGGGTGTGTCGTTACAGTATTTGATCGGCAATCTTTTGAGGGCGGTCTAGGCTCAATATGCACGATCCCATCGAGTTCTCCTAACCAGCACGATGCCCGAGCATTTCAATTCGTAGACTACGTAACAGCATCCGAATGCGACATCGTCGTTCGTCTATCGCCTCAGGCCCTCGTTGTTGAGTAACGCGTGCAACAAGCGTTTCAGCCTCAGGGTCTCTGACACTCACGTCACAACGCCCACCCGGCTAAAAGTGGGTCTGATGGAAGCTCTGCTGCCGAGCCCATCACATCATGCAAGCCTTTAGCTACCCGAATCTAGCCACATGGCCGCTGTCTCTTCTCCTTTCACGGTTAGTACCTGTTTTGGACTTAGCGCGCATGACTTCCGTAGCCCAGCATAGAGATAGCGTCTCTATCCTGATCGTACCACATGCGCCAAGATCACGACGCAGCCCCATTTTGTTCCTTCATAGCATGCCATTGTGGATTCCTGTGGATTCCTGTGGATTCTTCAAGGCTACGGGCCGATCATATGGCTGCCCGATGTTATACAACGGTTTCTAAGCCTTGCATCATTCGCTAGCTGCGAACTTTCTCGATGCCATAGACCAATCGCATTCTCCAGACATGTACTATGGTTCACTTCGCGTCGAGCCATCCGGTCGCTTCTCTCGCATGATCGCCACAGCTGGGATAGTAATGCTTGTTCACACGCGTAAGGAGCGCCACACGGCCTATGGGACACTCCCTCCCGCTTGTGCAGAATCTGGGGAATCCTCAGGTTTGCATTTTGTATCCGTCCTCATAACCGAACGCTCAGGCCCGACTCACTTTGTTCATGTTCATGTTTGTTCATACATCCGTTTTCTTCTCTTGCTGTCCGGGCGCATTGTTGCACACGTCGAATCGTTCAATCGAGCCTAGATACTTTCCTTGTTGTGCTTCACGCGCAGCCATTCAACATGTACTTCCGGCCGGGATATGTGGTGGTGATTGTTGGGGCGATACTCACGACGATGTCGACCGTCATCGTAGCGTTGCGGTAGGACTAATTGGCGTTGATGTGATACGGCAACAGGCTGACGTCCTCGAACAGATACTATTGCAGATGGTTTTTGATGGGAACTGTCAGTGCTAGCGATCACCTCATGTTTGTGGCTCTTGTAAGTCTGAGCCTCGTCTCCTCGACGATAAAGCTAATGAGATTCAGGTAGTTACATGGGGCAACTTCGTGGTGAACTTCTATCAAGATGAGACCAGCGCCCATACTCGTCCAAGCTATCTATTCAATCCAGTGAGAGAGACCAAAGTTCAGCCAACAACAATGTCTAACATCCATCCAGGAGAAGCGGCCCCTGATCGAGCCGCAAGTCCGTGGCAATCTCATATCATGGTGGGTCTACCGCTTGACCTACACCATCGGGCTGGGCTTCGTCAAGCTCAGTATCCTCTTCTTCTACCGCGCCATCGCCGCAAACCGCACGTTCCGCAAGCTCGTTTATGCTACGATCGCTTTCGTCTGCATGTACACGTTTGCTGCAAGCATGGCATCTACCTTCCAATGCGAGAACCCATCAGACGCTTGGTCGACAACCAACTACTTCGCTCAGTTCGATCGCAACCCGAACGCCCACCGAAAGCCAGTCAAATGCTTCGACCCCATCAAGCTATGGGTATTCTCCTCGGCATCCAACCTGATAACCGACATCATCATCCTCATGCTTCCCCTTCCAACACTTCTCAGTCTTCGCATAGCTATGACCAAACGTCTAGCACTCATCGGCATCTTCTCAGTTGGCATCATGGCTATAACCGCATCGTCCGTACGCATGTGGGTCATGATGCTATGGGCTGAGTCGCCCTCCAACTCTGCGCGCTTTGGAAACGACCTACTCCTGTGGGGTCAGGTTGAGACCAACAGCGGCATAATCTCTGCATCTATACCATTCCTGCGTCTCTTGTTTCGCAGTACTCAAAAGGAAGAACGAAGCGCAACGCCAGTAAAGGTCAACAGAGTGCCATCGCGGCCTGTCCAGATCGATGCCTTTAGCCAGCACAAAGCGCTCGATATGGGTGAATGGCCGCTCCAGGACGTCAAGAGAGCCAGTGAGCAGGACAATTGCTTCATCACAATACACGAAGAGACAATGCGTACTAGAGGTTCTGCTTGGGGGCCCTTCATCACCATACCGGAAAGCCTGAGCTCAGCTAGCAGGGGCGAGACGTTGCTAGAGCCACAACAGCATCCGCACATGACGGTCTGAGGAGCTCAGGGGTGCCTTCTTGTATTTGTAACGATAATGATAATCTGCCTTTAATGAAGTTCATATTTCTTTCCCTCAAGAATGTAAGCAACTCGTAATAGCTGTGTCACTTGTGACCTGCACAGACTGCGCTGGTCTCATGAACACAAATGTCGCGTTCTGTATGCACATTGGCAGCTGCAGGAAGACATTCGTCACGGCCGACTGCGGCCATGTCTAACATCGGGTGTTGCATGAGGGGTGCAGGATGACATGGGTTTAACGATGCCGCCTTGCCATTTGAGGCTAACACCGGGCGGCGCTATCCACCTGGGCGTCAGCGGCGATCTCATGCGGCTGTCCAGAGAGCGATGGAGAGGTCACGTAGACGCCCGCGTTATACTCGACCGCTTTCACCGTCGTGCTCGCAGCTGCAAGTCCGTTGTTCATCGCAGCACACCAATCGCACCTGTGGATCTCCCCCACATCTCGGCTTAAGTAGCAGGCCCTTGTTTACCCACCTGCACCGTGGCTTCCTCACGCCTTACCAAGCTATTCCTCGCCGCTGTCGCTCTCTTCATCGCAACATCCGCCATCCTGGCTTCAATCCGACTCGGCGGCCGCGTACCATCTATACTGCAATACGTCAAACCCTCGCCTCTACGGCATCCCCTCTACACACAACCGTTTAGGCCACTCACCAACTCCACCATGGCTCCCTCGCAATACAAGACACCGCCGCAGTTGCCGCCCAAGTTCACGGCTACCAAGGAGAGCTTGGTGAATGATGCAAAGCGACTGGTATGTGCAGCTCCGTGATTCCAAAGCTTCCGCTTGCAATTGCTCTTGCCAACCCCGCCGGAGGGGTACTTCAACCAAATGCTGACGCTTGCCCCAGATCGACAGGTCACGAGGTGTCCAAGATGCCATTGTCCGCGACGTGAAGCCCGAGAGCGCCAACTTCGCAAACGTACTCCTTCCCATCGCCCGCGATGACAACAAGATGGCCATCGAATCGCATATCCTCGGCTTCTACAACGCCGTGTCGACAAGCAAGGAGCTCCGCGATGCGTCCAGCGAGGTGGAGCAGATGCTCGACGACTTTGGTATTGAGTCGTCTATGCGCGAGGACGTCTTCAACCTCATCGATGCGGTACTGAAGAAGGGCGAGGACCTAGACCCGGAGTCCCGACGGCTGCTCGAGAAGGACCACAAGTCGTTCATTAGAAATGGTCTGAATCTTCCCGCGGGCCCCAAGAGGGATCGTTTCAAGGAGATCAAGCAGCGTCTGAGTCAGATCAGCATTGCTTTCCAGAAGAACCTTAACGAGGAAAGCGGAGGATTGTGGTTTACACCCGAGGAGCTACACGGTGTGCCAGAAGATGTCCTCTCAGGACTCAAGAAGGGAGAGGGTGAATTCGACGGCAAGCTGTTCCTGACCTTCAAGTACCCCGACCTCTTCCCGACGCTCAAGTACGCGACGAACCCGGAGACGCGCATGAAGGTCTTTGTCGAGAACGAGAACAAGTGTAACGATAATGTACCTCTGTTCAGGGAGGCCATCCTCCTTCGTGACGAAGCCGCCCGCCTTCTCGGCTACGACAACCACGCGCAATTCCGGATAGAAGATAAGATGGCAAAGACTACCAAGACCGTCGACGACTTCCTCGGTGACCTTCGCACTCGGCTTGCACCAGGCGGCAAGAAAGAGATTGAGAAGCTGATGGCATTGAAAGAGCAAGATGTGAAGGAAAATGGACTTACCGGCCCGCTGACCAAAGACTACTACCTCTGGGACAATCGGTACTACGATCGTCTGTTGCTAGAGAAGGACTATCAGTTGGACCACCAAGTCATTGCCGAATACTTCCCTCTGCAGACGACTATCCAAGGCATGTTGAAGATCTTTGAAGAGCTTTTTGGTCTGGTCTTCGTTGAGATCGTTGGCGAGGAAGACAGGGCTGCCCTTGCTGATGGCGGTAAGGGTTCCGATATTGTCTGGCATGAGGAGGTGCAGATCTTTAGCGTTTGGGATGACAAGGGCGAGGGCGAGGGCTTTGTCGGCTACCTCTACCTCGATCTGTTCCCTCGGGACGGCAAGTACGGGTAAGTAAAGCCGCTGTACAACCTGCACATGAGATGAATACTGACTTGTTGGTAGACATGCCGCCAACTTCAACCTCCAGCCTGGTTACATAGACGAGAACGGCAAGCGACGATACCCCGCAACGGCACTAGTCTGCAACTTCTCGAAGCCAACAAAGAAGAAGCCCTCGCTACTGAAGCACGATGAAGTCGTTACCCTCTTCCACGAGCTTGGACACGGTATTCATGACTTGGTATCGCGGACAACCTACTCTCGCTTCCACGGCACCAACACTGTTCGTGACTTTGTTGAGGCACCATCTCAGATGCTGGAGAACTGGTGCTGGACACCGTCGCAACTACGCTCTCTATCACACCACTACTCTCACATCTCTGCCGACTACGAGAAGGCATATCTAGAGTCTTCAGGCGCCGACAAGAAGCCAGCGGAGCAGATCCCCCAGTCACTCGTTGCAAAGTTGATCTCAACCAAGCATGTCAACGACGCCCTATTCAACTTGAGACAGTTGCATTTCGGCACTTTTGACATGGCTGTTCACGAGCCAGCCAGCCATGAGGAGCTTGAGAAGATGGATATTACTGAGAAGTACAACTCTTTGAGGCACGAGATCAGTCAGCTGAAGGGACCTGAGTCGTTGGAGGGTGACAAGAAGGGTGACTGGCACTGGGGTAACGGACAGGCTACGTTTGGCCACTTGATCGGTGGTTATGACGCTGGGTAAGTCACGTTCGATCACTTTACCAAACTTCACTTGCTGACCATCACAGCTACTACGGCTACCTCTCATCTCAGGTCTACTCCACAGACATGTTCTACACTGTCTTCAAGAAGGATCCCATGAACCCCACCGAAGGCCGTCGCTACCGGCATACGGTTCTCGAGCGTGGTGGTTCCAAGGAGGAGATGGATATTCTTGAGGAGTTCCTTGGTCGCAAGCCCCAAACCGAAGCTTTCTACAAGGAGTTGGGCATCTCGCAGTAGAGGCGCGAGAATGTGCGAGTTTCAGAAGATTACGTTAACAGGAGTGGACGACAGAGGTCAGGAATCATCGGCAACGAAGACCGCATTGGACGTGAAGGCTGGTCAAACGAGGATCTAGATATCGATGCGTGGGGGGCTCATTGGAAAGATGCGACTCCTATTGCTGAATGGAATGCAACGAAGGCGAGATGGTTCAGGAGGCGCGTGTTTGCCGCTGGGGGATACGTGGATACGGGACGTCCTTGGATTGGACCCAGATGAGGGTTTGTCAAAGATAACATCGCATCATGAGCCAACGCATTGTTAGCGGAGGTATAGTGGTCTTTCCGCTGAACTATTGTCCATCCATCTGAACTTTTAAGCATACTTGAATCACTCCAACCTCCATCATCCAATCTCAATTATCCAAAAACGCCCCTACTGTAGTCTTCTCGTACACCAGAAAACATGCCCAAGATCCCACGACCCTCTCTCTCCTCCATCTCCTCCTCTTTCACTTCCTGCTGCTACCTCCAGAAACCATGCGCCGTCCGCGACTGCCGTAATACTATCAGATGGAGGCCAGATGCGCAAAATCGCGGTGGATATCTGTGCAAGAGACATATGAAAGAGCTTAGGAAGGTTGCGGCGGTCATTATTGATGATTGGCTTGTTGAGCAGATGTTGGGCGATGGGATTTTTGCTGGGAGGGGGGTGGCGTGGTGGTAGTTTCATGGCTATGCCCGCTTGCTTGTGAGATGAAATGGCATTCTGAGAAGGGGGAATGATGGTATTCCAGTCTGTCAATTATACCACGTGTGAGCTTTAGTAGGTCACATCTGCATCGCGATTTATGTAGTGTTATTCAGCAGCGTTGTGACGGCTCTTTAATACCAACACTCTCGTCAAAGCAAAAGATAAGCCAATACTGCTAAGAACGCAATATCTGAGGATTGTCTTTACTATGAAAGTCACGGAACATCACCGAGAGAGCCTATGTGGTTATCGTTTGACGCGTAGCTGCAGGTGCTGGTGGGCCACCACAACGCTAGCGTTATCGCGGAATTGCGTCCGCATTGCCCGCAATACCGATAAGACGCGTCAAGCACGTCTCGCCAACCTCCCCGACGTAACACCGAACTGAGGCGCCGCTTCCAACACGTAGATTATGAACTCAACGGCGTTCGACTTGACGACTCGTCTTGACGCGTCTAAATCGAGCGTGGCAAGCTTCAGGGGATCTGCGCATAGTACATCGGCTCATCGACTACTCGTCTCGCACCACCCGGGCATGCGCCATGGCCACCGTGACATGTAAGGTACCAGATACACATGTCTGATTTTGGAGTCAGGTACACCATCACGGCATAGTTCCGCCTACATCTACGACAGGCGTCGGGATGGCTGCAGAATCCTCTTCCTTTGCCGTTCCCCGCAGAACCGGCTCCTCGACTTCGCATAACCCACCTCCATGATTGGACGAGATAGGACATAACATGCGGAACGTGGAAGAAAGGCTCTGGGATCAATGACACACATTCATCATGCGGCACCTCCGCTAATAGAAATACACGGCGCAAAGATAAGCATATCTTGACAGGCCTGCCACTGCTTCCTCATTTGGTTACAGTCGATTCACCAGTCCAGGTTGTTCGGATTGGTTCCGCGCATCAAAGATTATGATTCTATTGAACACGCGACGTGAGCGCTTCCTCTTCATCCTATCAGACGAACCGTTTGCTGCGCTGTACAGGACGAGCGAATGAGAAAATCAACATGAGTTCTCGAAAAGATGTTGATGGCAAAGAAAATGAATCCATGGCTTTGGATTTACAACGGACCATGTCTGGGAAGCATGACCAGACGCAAGTTTCTCACCAGAAGCTCGAAGTAAGTTATTGCGAGACCGTCGACACTGCTTTACTTAACAAGCAGTAGCAAAACTTCAATGTCTTCTCCCTTATCTCTACGGCGACTTCTTTGATCGCAACATGGGAAGCGCTTGGGTCTACAATGGCTACCGGCCTCATATCTGGAGGCCCAGTGTCTCTGGTATATGGATACCTACGTTCGTCTTCCAATCTGCTGGCTTGAATCGGTCTCTGATACAGATACGACAGTCGCGATCATAGGGACATTGGCAACAGCGTTGTCTCTTTCAGAATTGGCCTCCATGTGAGTCGAGAGCTCCTCTGTGGATTGTAAACTCATCTGACCACCGTTTTTTGTTAGGTACCCATCGGCTGGAGGCCAGTACTACTTCGTCGTCCAACTTGCTCCCAAGAAATTCAGAGCAGCATGGGGATATGCCTCGGGATGGATCTGCATATTCGCCTGGCAGACCTTCACTGCGGCTGCCCCTTTCCTCGGCGCAACGATGATTCAAGGTCTCGTCGTACTCAACTACCCGAGCTACTCGTATGAGAGGTGGCACGGAACGTTGATATATTGTGCCTTCCTTGGGCTTGCAGCACTTGTCAATGTCTTCGCTATCAGAATCATGCCTCTGATTTTGCATGCGACATTCGCGCTGCACGTCGGATTCTGGGCCGTGCTGATCATTGTCATCTGTGTTATATCACCCAGCAAAAATTCTGCGGAATTCGTCTTCACCACTTTTATCAACGATTCGGGATGGAGTAGTGACGGCGTAGCTTTCAGCATTGGTTTGCTGAGTAGCACATATGTGCTTGCGGGTTCGTCACGCCCATTTTCAACGATTGTACAAAACTGACGATACGACCAGGATACGATAGCGCGACCCATCTCACCGAAGAGATCAAAGATCCCGAACGCAACGTTCCGCGAGCCATGCTGGCATCAATCATCATCAACGGGGCACTAGGATTCGGGTTCCTGCTCGTCATCCTGTTTTATATGGGCGACATCACCGAAGCGATGGAAACGACAACCGGATACCCCATCATCGAGATCTTCTATAAGATCAGTCGCAACAAGGCAGCAGCATCAGCCATGACCTGCGCCCTCATCGTCATAGCGGCATTGGCAACAGTACCTCTTCTTCTGACAGCATCTCGAATGCTCTGGTCTTTCGCCCAGGACGCTGGACTACCTTGCTCGAAAACGCTATCCCGTGTTGACAGCAAACATCATGTGCCTCTACCAGCGATAGCGGTCACCAGCGTCTTTCTCATTTTGATCGGCCTCCTGAACATCGGTTCCACTACTGCTTTCAACGCTATCGTATCACTCGGCACAGTCGGTCTGTACATCTCATACTTGATGCCAATATTGCTCATATTTTACCGGCGGATCGCTCGTCCAACGACACTACCATACGGTCCCTTTAGGCTCGGGAAGCTGGGTGTGGGTGTCAACCTTGTCTCCATTCTTTACACTGTCTATGTGTCTATCTTCCTTCTTTTTCCGCCATATCAACCTGTCACGGCTCAGAACATGAACTATGCGCCCGTCGTACTGGGAGGCGTTCTGGTATTGAGTGCTGTGTGGTGGTTTGTCAAAGGGAAAAGGCAGTTCGTTGGGCCGGTGCTGGACACGATTGAAGGCCGGCCTGCACTGAATGATGCAAGAGTTTAAAGGCGACGCTATCCCCATCAAGTGTCGTCGAGATTGTTAGACTTGAATTGTAGGAAACGAACGGGGCAGCGTCAATTTATAGACTGAGTGATATACTCGTGTAGCGACAACGCCCATCTATTAACGCCCCAAACGGGAGCGGCTACTTTGAGAAGTTGAAAGATGTGCAGAGAAATGGAACTTTACGTACGATTCCACACGAAAAAGCTCGCCGTTCTATTAGAATTAGATACTACGGCTCTTTGCACTTACGAACATTGCTGGGACTGCTCGCGCGTGCTGTTGGCAAGGCCTAGGCCATCATCGAAGGTCCCAGGATCGACCGAGGTACAGTTCTACGCCACAACATTGGCCGCCTAACGATTTGACCTTGACCACCAAGCGTGTAGGCGGGTTGTTGTTGTGGTCACCGGTCTCCAGCAGCCTGCACTGCCCCGCTGAGTGGCATGCCTACAACAAGCAGCCACCTTTTGGCAGCCTGATCAAATGGACTCACCTCTTTCAACTCACACTTTTGTCATTCAAACTACACAAATCCCAGTCTATGATCAGTACTAGCACTTCTACTACATTTATCTCAATCACTTCATATGGCGATGGATACAGGGGCCCTAATGCATTCGGCCAATCATACTCATCTAATCCCCGCTGTAACGTCATCGGAATTCTTGGAATTCACCCACGCACCTCTCGACTATGGCGCGCCTTCCATTCGACTCGTTCGTATCCAACCCACAAAGTCGTCAAATGGATCACTCCAGTGCGAACTGCGACATGCCTCGACCTCGAGTACCTACCTCTGCCTGTCGTACGTGTGGGGCGCTGATGATCTTTACCAATGGATTCTCGTGAACGGCCAGTGGCTTCGCATCCGACAAAACCTGTACAATTTCATGAGAGTAGCGAGACAGCAGCGGAAGTGGAGAAGTCGATGGTTCTGGATTGACGCCATTTGTATAGACCAGGGTAATGCTATGGAGAGAAATCATCAGGTCAAGCAGATGGGTGACATATTCGCCAGAGCAGTACAGGTTGTAGCTTGGCTTGGCACGAAGCAGCAGATTGTAACCTTCTTGCAGAACTCAAGCACAGGGAAAGTGGAAGGGAAAGCCGTAGGAAAGCTGCAACAAAGCATAGAAGAGGCGGAAACCACAAGAGGGAATGCATACGTTGTTGGTAGCTCTTCAGGTCAAGAGAGTGACTGTCACGATGTACAGAGGGCGCAGAATGATGCAGATGGATTTCGCTATTTCTGTTACGCTGATTATTGGGATCGAGCCTGGATCACTCAAGAGGTCGCCCTTGCCCGCCGCATCACGTTCATGGCTGGAAAAGCAAGCTTAGCAGCAAATTCGATCTCTTTCGACCACGAGGCATTTTGCCAATTACGCGTTGCTGCACTGGATCCTCGAACCACACGAGAGCTCAGAGGCAGGAGCCTCATATACCTATTGTTCAGGTTCAAGTCGAAAGAGTCAGGCTTGAGAAGAGATCGCGTCTTCTCACTACTATCCCTGTGTGGCGATGGCTCAGACGTGTTCGTGGATTATGAGATCACGGACCTACAAGTTGCCGAAAACGTGCTGAATTGCTGCACACGCTCGTTTTGTCTATGTTCAATAGGCATAGTTGCGTTTGTCTTGGGTGTTCAAACCCAACTCACGACTTCGCAATACGTCCTGGGCTCACGACTGGACTTTGCGCATATAACACTTCCAGTGACAACAGAAGCTACGCATTTCGAACGCGATTTGGAAACACCGCCTGTTCTACATCAGCCCGGTCCCTATGGCCCAATTCTGACACTCAAGGTTCGCGCTTTGTGCCGCTCGTACCATGGACAAATTCGAATATCCCCTGATCGCACGGGAGAAGACTTTTCCGTCAGCTACGTCGACGGATACTTTGATGGTAAATGGAACATTGATCTGATTGAAGGATGTCGAATGGTTCTTTCAAGAGACTGGCAATCTTGCACCGCTTCCTTTTCTCTGCAATTCCTATATGAGATCGTTCGATTGAATCGATCCCTGGTACCATGTTGTGACCGGGTAACATGCGAAGGTACAACTTCGGCGTGGCCAGCTAGTGAGCCAGCATTGACTCTATCCTGCTAGGAGGATGTGAATGTGTACTTACTATCATTTATCTATAGATATGTCGTATCAAAACGTCTCTCAAGAGCTGGAATTTCCATGTAGTTCAAAAAATCATCAAAACGTCTTCGTGTCTTCCGACTAAACTCATGCGTGATGTATGTCTCCAAATACTTCATGAGCAATTTATATGACTCATTCGTCGTCCTCGCATTCGAAACAATAAGACCTCGCTTCGAGCCCTCCCAGCCTTCGCTGTCACGGAGATGCGCTTCAATCTGCTCTTGCGTAAAGGATATAGGACAGGGCATCGAGCTGTTGATATCATTCCAGTGACTGTTACAACCGCACGTTAGCTACTAGACCGGCGAAGCAAGAGAAGCTTTGAGAGTTCGCAACATACCGTGCTACATCAATCAAACACTGCGCCGACGCTCTTGGCGGCCGCCCTGTGTAGTGCGGGAATGTCGAATTTATGGTAGCGTTTACGCAAACGATTCTTCTCGTTCCGAAGCCAGCGGTCGCTTTCGTAGCGGTAAAAGTTCTTGTATTCATCGTTCGAGGTCCTTGTGGTGTAGTTGTGACGGGTGGAGACTCGCTGGCGTCTATGCCGTAATGATGAGAAAGCAGTGAATCATGGAATACTCCCCGCAGCGCGATATCTGTAACGCAAAAATTTCATGACAGTGGAATGATGTGCGGTCCATGCGGCACCGTAGCTGACGTTGCTCACTACTCATGAATGCGGCGTAGCAAGCTTAGCGAGTGCCTCGATCCTTCAGGGACTTCTTGGCTCCTCGGATGAGCATTGACAATAAACTTCAAGAGTGACAATGGACAGACTGCCAGGAACACAATATCGCATTGTCAAAGTCTATGTCACTCCAAGCCGACTGAAGATCGTCGCTGTCAGGAACTCCGTAAACGCCATGCTTGCTCATATCGACATTATCCTCCGTCTCCGCATGCCACCCTATTCGTCATCGAGTATCGAGCTGGCCAGCGGGCCAAAGAAGGGTACTTCGTATCGATCGAGTGTTGCGGCTGTCCACATGTTAGCGCCTGGTTCCATTCTAGCATTCACACCTTGGACCCACCATCCAAATATGCCCTCCAAGTCAACCACCCTATCCCCGCCAAATCTCCGATGAAGAGTACCCAGGAAATAAAGCTCGACCAACTGAATATGATGTGCACCACAAAGACGAAGGCGAACAGCAAGCTGCTTTGCCATGCGTGGAACCGTACATAGTCGCTTTGGTGCTCTAGGACCAAAAGCAACACACCGCCCGCTGGTGGTAGTAGAAGATATGCCAAGCACGCTTCATAGTCCAGTCGCCAGCCTAAAGACGTTGTGAACATGTCTACATCCTCGCGGGAACGGCCGAAGCCTGTACTCCGCGAAGGCTGGTCCCATGCTATGCGCTCTGTATCGGGTTCTGCGGGCGGCGATATAGGCGATTGACCTTGGAAGTAGTCATGCTGTTCGTATGCGCGTGTGTTCGGCGATGTGATATTACGTGTGCGGTCGATAGATGTCCTCGGCGAGTGGACAGGCGGTGGAGAAAGCGCGCGTGACGATTCGGGAATGTCTTGGTATGGGGCGAAGTTTGCGGCCATGATATCCCCTTTACTTGGAAGACGTATGCAGTGTATGAGAAGCTTGTCGCTCAATTCCTGGGTATTGCGAAGTTTGGTGCAAGAGATAGGGCTGACGCAGAGGCAGGTGTAACCGGGGCTGTGACGTTTGGCAGGGATCCGAGCTCGAGATGGGCCGGGGTTCTGCCGCCGGCACGTGAATGATCGCTTTCGGCCATCTCCGCCGTGTCACTCCGCTGCAGGAACAGTCATGCTGTGCGACGTCTCTAGAAAACGACGGCTCACACAGCTGTCGAGTACCTCGCGGTGAACAGCATGCTAACGCAAATGCGACGAGTCAATGTTCAGTGAGAGAATGCCGTCTTCCCCGTCGCTGGCCTGAGGTCGCACGCTCCTTATGTCACAGGGACATCAGATTCCGCCTTCCGTCAACCTTTATCTCGCCATGTGTCGTCCTACCTCACTCCACATCCTGTGCGGTTGGAACCACGTATAAAATTGAGCGTTGAAGCACTTGTTGGCATTCATTCACACCGCTCACATTGCACTTCGGTAAACTTTGCGCTTATTCCGTCGTTCCCCGAAACTTCAACGCCACAAAACACCCCGTTGTCATACTTCAACTTACAAACCCTCTTACAACCAGAATACGTCCATCACCATGTGTATCGCTATACTTACGACCGCGCACCCAGACTATCCATTCATTCTACTCAACAATCGAGACGTACGTTTGTTAGGCTTCAGTGTTTCTCTCTCACGACTAACGCAGACTAGGAGTATCTTCACCGTCCAACGGCAGAAGCAACATGGTGGCCATCGCCAGATACGCAAGTCCTAGGAGGCTACGATCTACACCGTCCTGCTCATGGGACCTGGCTGGGTGTAACTCGTCAAGGCCGAATCGCAGTATTGACCAACTACCGTGAAGAGGACCAAACCATCGTTGAAGGAGCGCGAAGCAGAGGATTGATTCCAAACGCTTGGCTGAAAATTGACCCAAAGAAAGGGGAGAGTACAGAAGGTTTCGCGAAACGAATGATAGAAGAGGATGGTGTTGAAGGTGTAGGAGGTTTCTCGCTCTGCTATGGATTCATCCAGGATGTCATCAAAAAAGAAGGAAAGGGTCTAGCGATCGTCAGCAACCGCACTCCAGACGTTCACGGTGTGGTCCATCTCCTGCAAACACCAAATGAAACCCGAGCCCTCAGCAACGCTGCCTACAGTGACCGCAGCTGGCCCAAAGTAGCAAATGGAGAAGCCTGGACGCGCACTGCGATTGCGGAATCCGTCGCCGCGAATGAATCTCGCGACCAGCTTATCAATCGTCTTCTTGACATCTTGACCACGGATACCATGCCCCGACAGAAAGAGAATGAAGAATGGGACATGTATCTCAACCAGCTACGTCACAGCATCTTTATACCGGCCATCGGAAGAGACCATCTTGAAGAGCACAAGATGCCTGCGCATGAGATAGGCGACTTGGTCAAGGCGAAGGCATTGGATGCTACGAGTGGGTGCTATGGTACGCAGAAGAATATCGTGGTGCTCTGCGACAAGGATGGCAAGGTGACGTATCTCGAGAGGACGCTGTATGACGGCGACGCGAAGCCGATCGAGAAGGGCAAAGGGGACAGAGTATTTGACTTCACGATTGAGGGATGGTAAGAATACGACCGATCATATGTGTTCGGTGGTCGAGTTTCCGCTACTTTCACTCTATCCCAACTTGAACCATCCATACGTTTTTTCTATATCCTACCCACTGTCAACTTTCCATCGGCCACCGCAATGATCTCTAGTAGCCGCCAGTAAGATTTGATATCGAAATCTCCACTCCGCTACTGCAAACGCGACAGCCCGACGCGTCTCCCTTGATCTCTCCGTTTGCTGTCCGCGACATCGCGCTACGCGATTGGTCCGTGCAGCTATTCTTTCCGTTGCTACGCCTGACCACACCGTCAACAACACCGCTTGTCTCCTCAGTTGACCTTGAACGCAATCATCTTGCAACAACCACTTTTGGCCGCTTCCAGCCCGTATCAGCAATCGCTTCTCCTACTCCCACGTTTTCCTCCTACTATAATCGCTACCATGTGTATCATGTGGTTCGTAACGCACAACGACGGCCCCCGCGAGCACTGTATCGGTTGGCTCCACTGCGCCCATCTCGACTGCCCTGGAACGTTGGAGGCTCATAACAAGTGCGTGCTCGTAGAACCCCGCGTCGACTGCAAAGAATGTGTACTCGAAGACGGTGATCAAGTGGATCAGGAGGTACGTTCGTATCCTGCTATTCCGCATTACGAATTGGCGTACGTAGAAGGAACGGGTTGGGTCAAGGTCGCTGAGGAAGGGAATATTACGGCTGGAGGGCAGAACCAAGAGGAGGACGATGACGATGTCGGCTCATACCACAGCTTCCGAAGCCTCTCGGACGTCGATAGTATCACGTCTCACTGGCGTCTGGACCCGCCGCGTGCTCGTCGAGCTGCTCGAGCTCCACAAGAGAACTCGCCAGCACCAGCTCCACATGCTTCTCCCGCAGTCGCAGAGCCATACGAAACCCGCTCCGCCCACGATCCGCACGAAATGCAAGAAGTGGGCTCGCCATTCCACGAAAACGGCTCCAACCGGGACCCGAACATTCCAGATGTTACGGAGGGCCAATTCAGCGACTCACCCAACACGCTCAAGCACCGTCATCTCGTCAACGGTCAGCTGAAAGAGCTGAAAAAGCTTACCAAGCGGATGTCTCGTCATCGACGCCAGAACAGTGGACCCGGGCGCCCACAACAGCATCACCGACGTCAAAACAGCCAGGCGAATGGTAATGTCGTCGCCCCACACCCCTATCCGTTCGCGTTGGACGGGAGCCCAGTAGCTCAGGGCCTGCCAGGAGGTCATGTGCCGTCGTACTTGGGAGTACCTCAACCAGGCCAGGCGCCGACGTGGGTCTGGGGACCGGTTCCGCCGTCTCATCTGAGGGGGATGTATCCACCTGTAAGTACTGTTATGTCTCGATACAGCGATACTTGCTGACATGTATAGTTCTAGGGGTGATGAGATTGTGGGGGAGATGGTAGATTTTGGAGATCCGATTGTAGATGAGATGGATGATTGTGTATCGAAGTCCTGTTTTGTTAATGTCATCTACCTTCCAAAGGTCTACATTGCCCTTTGCCTTTGCAAACTTTTGTCATTGTACTAATGTCGACTCCTGGATAAGTCTTTCTGACGGGCGTTCTGATGAAGTTAACATGCACGTGTTTTGTCTTGGCACGCTACAGGTGACAGGGAGTTAGTGACGTCTTGTAGATCTTTCGGCAACTCTAATCAACAAACACCGATCCGCAGTCCGACCTCCGCACCCGTTCTCGCGACAACCTGACCGCACTTGTTGTCTCGTGTCACATGTTCCAGAGAGCAGAGCCATAATCTTTATCCTTCCTGTTCGACCGATCACGCGCCTTTCCGATCCTCTTCGCACACATTCAGCCGTCATGGCGTCTCTTCCGCCTCAGCGCCCCGCGTCGCAACATAGACCCTCACCTCCTGCCGAATCATCGTCCTCACAGCAGGAGCAAACAGAACGGACGAACAGTTTCTCTGGGCAGTCGGTAGATTCGCAGACGTTGCTACTCAATACGCCATCTACACAGTCAGCCTCTTCTACGCCGCAGGAACAGGCCGAGGTACCCACACAGACCACCGCGCCACAATTAGAAGAAGACGATGAACCGCGAAGATGCTGGATCTGCTTCAACGACGAGACGGAAGACGACGAAACGACATCGGAGTGGAGGTCGCCTTGCGCCTGCTCACTGGTGGCGCACGAGAGGTGTTTGCTAGACTGGATAGCGGATATGGAGGCGCCCAGCTCACGGCGGCGGGCTGGTAAAGCAGCAGGGCAGATATTATGTCCTCAGTGCAAGAGCGAGATCAGAATAGAGCGACCGAGGAGCTACGTGGTGGACATGGTTCGGGGCGTTGAGAAGCTTACGGGTAACCTCCTGCTTCCGGGCTTCGCACTCGTCACAGGCACAGCGCTCTACTCGACACTGACGCTATCCGGGACGGCGACGATATACCAGATATTCGGCACGCAAGATGCGCTGCAAATTCTCGGCCCGCTCTACGAGACCCCGAGTCGGTCGGTGAACTCGGTAACATTGCAGTGGCTGGAACATTTGAGGCAGCACTGGAGGTTGGACCTTGGTCTGCCGTTGATTCCGACAGTGCTGGTTGCAAGCCGAACGTCATTCGCCGACTCCTTCCTACCCTTCCTTCCGCTCATCTTCTTCGTCAGCTCTGGACAGCCAGGCGATGACATGCTACAACTGCAATGGCCACCGAGCGCCGCTTTCACTTTCGCCGCACTACCCTACCTGCGAGGCTTCTACAATGCATACTACGAGCGTGTATGGTTACCACGAGAGCAGCAATGGCTGAAGGAGATCCAACCCCGAGCTGGTGAAGACACGACCGCAGACACCCAGGTACAACATGACCATGACCACGACCATGGAGGTGACGAGGATGTGATTGAAGAAGTAGAGATAGAACTCGACTTCGACATCTTCGCAGACTGGAATAACAATGGCGAAGCCGATAACGATGACGATGACGACGACGCGCACGAACATCCTCCCGTACCCGTCGCGCGTGGCCCAGTAGGGCGCATCGACGCGCCACCGCAAGACGATCAGGACGACGCAGAGATGCCTGATCTCGTCGATGTCGAACCTCAGCAACAAGCAGCACCTCCACCCAACATCCCCATGCAACCCGCCGCCCCTCGACCCCGACGCGTCCGTCGCGAACGCGGCGTAACTTTCTCCACCACCTCCCTTGCCGACACCATTCTCGGCGCCCTCATCTTCCCCACAATTGCCGCCGCCATGGGCGAGATCCTCAGACTCAGCTTACCCAGCTCATGGGTCACGCCTCCTACAGGCGCACCAGCAACATCATGGCTCGGTGGCTGGATCAACACGGGTGGCAAGGCCGGTGGCGTGGGCAAGCCAACTGGGTTTCTGCAGACGCGCTGGGGCAGGAGTGTGGTTGGTGGATGTATGTTTGTTGGGCTGAAGGACATGATTATGCTATATGTTCGGTGGAAAACAGCGCAGAACCATCGAAAGAGGGGCATTGTAGATCATGATAGGAAGAAGCCGAGGAGTGGTGCTAGGACATCGGCTTGAGGGTGCTTGGGTTTGGGTGATTAAGAATAGAGTGAGCTCAGGAGTACGGGTACATGATGATGGGACGAATGCGTTTGAGCATGTTGTGGAGTCGATCTATTCGGAGGGTCCACCATTTGTATATTACACTCAATCACACTAGACTGGTATCCCAGTCAGACTGAATCATCAGCTCTCAATTTCCCTTCTCGATCAGAAGTGAAGCAACTGCCCCAGCCTACTAATACCCTACCACCTCTTCAACACTACCCAAATCTCTCTGCGGCAATCCTCTTCAGAAACTCCATAGTCCCCGCCTCCTTCTCCCTCCGTTCCGCCAGCCTCTCATTCCTCTCCGCCTCCCTCGCCCGCGCAATCTCCTCCCTCCGTATCTCCCTCTCATTCTTCTGCCGTTCTTGCTCTTTCTTCTTCTTCTTGTACACGTCTATGCCGTCGTCGCCCATCAAGTCTGACTCCGGCACATCTACCTCCCCTGCTTCTTTGGCGTCGCGGAAGGAGTTTAGAGTGGATGTCGTTTCGCGTTTCTTCTCTAGTTGGCGTTCACGGGAGTTGGGGTCCGCGCGGGGGACGAGGTCGTCTAGAGCCTCTTTCTGCGATTTCCGATCCGTTTTGCGGGCGTGTCGGATGTCGTCGATGTAGTTTGATTGGCCATGCGCGCGGTCTTCGGAGACGAGTTCGTTGCGGAGGGTTAGGTCGTCCATGTTGGGGATTGTGGGACCGTGGCCGGTATGTCGGGGGAGGTGCGTAGGCGGTGCGGGACCGAAGTCGTCGTCGCTTGCATCTGAACCTTCTTCCCCATCCCTCTGTGCATAGCTAGGCGACGCTCTTTTCCTAGGCGCTATAGGCGAAGTCGCACGATACGTCTGCACCGTCTCCTTCGCCGTCTTCAACATGGACGGATCGTACCAACTCCTTGCTAGCTCCCCCCTGTTCCAGCGACTAACGAAGCTCTTCCATCGGCCTTTTGTTTCCCGCTCGTCTAGGCTGTCGAGTTGGATGGACTTCTGGATGTCGAGGTAGGATTGGAAGAGCGGTTTGTAGTCGTCGTAGTGGCGCTTTGATAAAGGCTTTGCTTTGTAGGGTAGGTCTATGGGTCGGGGTGCGGCGGGTGAGCGCGAGCGGTGCCGCTTGTGTCGGTGCGTGTCATCGTCGCGACGGGGGGAGCGCGAGCGGTGCGAGCGGTGGTGTTTCTTGTGGGTGCGTGATTCGTGGGGGTTTGAATCGCGGTGTGACGGTAGTTGCGCGGTGGATTCTTCGGGGGTGTAGCTGCGGCGCGGCATGGTGGAGGTTTGGTGATGGAAAGTCAATGTGGAGATGATGCGCGAGAAGTTCTACCCTATTCAAGGGACAGGTTAGACACCTATTCCTACGAATTACAACTTCAAAAACCCAGAAGAGAGCTACAGTGACTTGAGATTGTACCAACGTAGACACTAGATACTATTATAGGCCCCAAGGCATCTAATCACTTTTTCCTTTGAACAGGGTGGTTCGCATGTCATAGCGGGTCCTTTCCGCGGCTTCGGTTCTACTTGTGGATCTTCACCAACGCGCTAGTTGAGTTAAACATACCTCATGTATTGCATCGTACTATCCAGACACATTCTCAGACTCCCGTACCCTTTCGAAAAGCTCATCAACAGTCATCAGTCAAAGCTCCATAGTTGCAGCACGCGTCTAGCCATCCCAATTGACGAGCGTCTCCCATCCTTCCCGCGTGGGTTCTTCCGTAGCAATGCCCGGGTTTTCTCGTTCTTCTGCGGACCGTCCAGGCGTTCCAGATAAGTCCAACGGTCTCGGTGAAACATATGTATTATCGAGTAGGGCGGTACCCGTACCGCCTTGATTCCCACAGCGTCCAGTACCTTCTTTTTTGCTGATTTTTTGGTCATTTCACGGAGAAGTCAAGCGGTATGTATATGTATATGTGATAGTGATGGTGGGGGTAGGGAGAGGGGGGTAACTGTGCATCATCCCCCCTCTTTCTATCCTTCTTCTTCACCTTCTCTATCCATATCTATCCTATACACAAACATACTTCTTAATCATCTTTACACCCTTCTTCATTCTACTTTCCTTCTTCTCTTCTTCCTTTTCTACTACTCTTTCTTCTTCTATCTCGTCTCTGCTATCATATATAATAGTTAGCATTTTGTTTCACTTGTCTTGCTTACTTCTGGTTTTCCTTTCCCTGTTTGTAGATATTCTGGTATCTATTCACATCTATACTTAGTATTCAATTTCTTCTTCTTGTTACTACTATCACTTACATCTACCATATCTGTATTTCTTCCTTTCCAGTTCTTCTCTTCTGCTACTTTACCCATTTTGATTCTGTTTCTATTGTATAGTCAGCTTTCTTTCTTTCTTTCTTTTTGGGAATTCTGAGGAAAGAAGAGAGGGGGACGGCATGTTTATATATGTTTTGGCTTTGACTCATAGATGTGTGCGCTAGGTTGGAGTTTGGTTGCTTATCTTCGAGTGTGAAGTTTGCGGGATGAGTATTGGGTGTACCGAACTAATACTTGCGCAAACCAACGACCCCCCACAACCCTCCAGCTGCCGCAAGCCTCTAGCAACCCCAACCAAAAACCTTGCCGCACAATTTTCGCATTGAATCTACAGCGGTTATATCCAAAGCCTCTCGTTTGTCGATCGACACCACAGAATTCGTCACACCCCCTTGTTGGAGCGCAAAGAATTACGATGGAACCCCCAAAATTCGGTAGTTCCAGGACCCAGGATTTCAGCTACCCAGAGAATAGTCAAGCCTGTGAAACTCACTCTACCGCGGAATGATCGGCTTTCGTGTTCGGTTTCGAAGCCGGGTGTCGACGGCACCTATCATCCGTGTCAAGTCTCCTTCTCTGATGGTACTGCGATGATCCAGAAAGGAGGAGCCAACCACACGTTCCGCATTTCAAACGATTCGTACGCAAGGCGATACTCACGTACAAAATTTCTCGCAACCTCAAAAACCTCCAGTCCTCTACCGCACAATCTTTGGAATCGCCAGTCTCAAAAGGTCTCGTGTCGCTACACATTGACATCCATTCACTTAGATATATATATACTGCCGAGAGGATCCTGCCTTCTGGTCGTCCGACCTGGCTGCATGCGCGGATCAAGAAGTCTGCGAAGGCGTGCGTTGCCATGGTTTCCCGATGACTCTTACGGAGAGGCGATGGCGTGTGGATTTGAACGCCCCGACTCTGCCGGCCGGCGTCCTTCTACGGCACCCTATCGGAAGGCTGAACCGCGTCCGAAGCTCAGCATCTGATACGTGCCCAGGTGATATTGCACATCCGATGACAGGCGGCTTCTATATCAAGACTGACCATGCCCAGAGGCCGATGTAGGTTTTGAGACTGCTGTAGTTCCCAATCACGACCCACAGACCTCTCATCCTCATCCAACCGCGAGAGCTGCGCATTGTAGCTTCATAGGTAAGCAAATGGGAGTCAAAGCGAGGTTAGTACGGTGGTGTCTAATGATCAAGGGAGTCCACCGTCCGACATGTACACGTTGGTCTTTCTTGCCATCTATCTCATCGACTAGTAATGGGAATGATCATTGGTTCACCCGATCCACCACTCAACACGGGCGAACGTGGCTGTGCAGACTGTGTCACAAGCGCTCTCGTCTCATGATAGCCTATCAAGCGTGCTTAGGGGACATGCAATCCAAGAGCTGCTCCGGACAGCATCAGTATGTCAGCCTTACCGGCTCGCAATCAAAACATACACATGCACCGGGAAGGCTTAGCCTTCCACGTGATTTCGCGCGATTATCGCGACTAAAGGTTGCCATAACTTGGAGAGTATCAACACACATCAGACCGCTTCCAAAACTTGCTTCGCCTTTCGCCGCATCCTCCGCGACAAATCTTGAGTTCACCCTCTATACCATCCCCTTTTCATCTCCATAGCACCACAAACACCTTCGTCTAGAACACCTGAGTCACTACAACTCATCGGAAAAGCAACACACCATGGCTCCATTCTCCATCGAAGCCATCATTGCGACTGTCACCCTCGTGACGACATTCCCCCAATCTGTCCTCGCCATCTGTGATCTCATAAGCCTTGGACGTCGCCGCGACTTGCGATCGAGTGAACACAGTGAGTCTCAAAGTATCCCCGTACGCTTCACGCAGTTCGTTGACATCTCCCCAGCTCGTCGGAGTGGATGCGATCATCTACCACTTCAGATCAACATCGCTCATGTAAACCTATTCGTCTCACAGCCCGGCCGACCCTAAGCCCCACAATTGAATACATTGGAGTCAGTGAACACCTCCCTCGGGCAACGATGGATATGGGTCGCTGATAAAACACTTGGAGACTACGTGGGTGTAGCGTGATACGAGGGCGGTTGTATGGAAAGGTTAGGAAACAACGTGGTGGATGTATCTTGCCGCAGGCGGTGCGATACTCACTTATACTAGCTCAAGGCAAGGGTAGACCTATGAATTGAAGGCGAGGAAAGAATTGTATCCTTATAGCGCAACCTCATTTGTGCAAGTCAAAATACAACTGTCTCTTACGCAACACCAGGAATAGCCACCGGTCCAACCGGCCCACTACTCGCCCCAATATTCGCCTGATGCATCGTTCTCGCACCCCATTGATCCGGGTAATCCACGGCAGTATGAAACATCTGGTAGTTCGCCCACATGATGATATCCCCTTCCTCTACCTTGGGCAACATGATGTATTCCGGTTTGAGTACGCGTTCTTGAATGGGCTTAAGCCACGCTCTTATCTCCGCAACGTCATCGATGATGGTTGGTTCCTCCTCTTCGCTCGACCGAACGAATGCGCGCCGGACGCAGATACCGTGGACCATGAAAGCGCGCTCGCCTGTTACGGGGTTCACCCATACCATAGGGTAGCGCTTGATATCGTTTCCGTCGTAGGGTCCAAGGTCTTCCGTTGACTTCTCTTTACCTTGACTTACTAAGCCTAGACCGTGGGATTGGCCTTTGCAGTCGCCCATCCACTGGTATGGGTGGGGCGCATACTCGACCCATGAGTGGTCGGCAATCTTCTTCTCTTGCTCTGTCATCATGGCGTATGTTTGGACGTTGCTGAAGAAGGCGGTCAGACCGGGTTCGGTCTTCATGGTCATGCCACTGCCGTCGTCCCAGTGTACGGTAAGTTCTGGAGATGTGGGTCGCTTGATGCAGCGGAGGGTGGTGAACCAGGCTGGGTCGCGGGCGTATAGCGGTGCGTCGATATGCCAGCGTTGGAAGCGCGTGTGGCCTTGGGCGTACTCTTCTTCGGGGAGCGGCTTCTCGTGCCATGCGTGTGCGAGTTCTTTCTTGATTGTTGCGTCTTTGAGACCGTAGTGGTCTGATCCTTGGTAGCCTTTGCCGATCAGACGGACGTTCTCTGCGCCAGGTATACCGACAACATCGCGTCCTCTCTGGACCCGGATCAGCGGGGCAGTCCACTTGGTTACAGATGACTCTTACCGATAGTAGGCCACCCTGTTTGTGGAAGGTCTTGACATCGCCATGAGAATGCACATGTGGTGCTTTAGGATCGAAGCGTGTGACAAGCTGCCATTGCTTGATGGGCGCGAGGTTCTTCTGACCCTTGACAACAACAAGCTTGTGTGTCCAGATCGCGTCTGAGAGCGCTTTCACGTCGGAGTCTATAACGCGACGTTAGCTAATCGCATTGCCATTGTCATGCCGCCAGTGTGCTTACCACTGATGTTATCAAGATTGAGGTCATCGATCACCGCTCCGAAATCATGCTTCTCTTTGGCAGTCTTCTCCATCTCCTTCACCGTGAAGGTGGGCTCAGGGGGCAGGATACCTGGTGCCATGATTCTTGGCCGATGTCGAGGAAAATGATGACCGGCGATCTTCCTTCTAGGTGGTGGCTTCTTGCGGTGAGTTTTGAACAGAAGAAGCGAAAGTTCGAGTGGTGAGAACGCAAAGCCCGATGTCATAAGTGTCTACACCATCAGCCTTGATCTATAATCCCCACGCCACATATATGCTCGTAGTCGAGACCATGTTCATCCACCCACTCTTTCTCAATGGCTATCCCCGCATTCTCACCTGAACACTCGGTCGTTATCAGAGACCCTATCTCAGCTGCGCTTGATACTGCAGCGATGCATCTACCGAACGTGCGGGGGATGTTTCCCTGGGAGGCGCCCTCGCTAAGATCCATGGACGTTATCTTATCAGCAGCCAAGTCCCGGCCGAGATTCAACTCATGGAAGCTGCTGCGCTCGGCCGACTTCGTAATCTGTGATCTGTGTG